TGTTAAGGCTCCATGTTGAAGCGGCACCGCCGGGCGTGCAGGTTGCAGTTGCAGGCTGCAAGAGGCAAAGAGGGGAGACCCTCAGCATCTGTGCCCAGCCGTGGAGATGCCAGCCCCGGGGGTGCCCCTCTGCGTGGGGCCTGACACCCTCGAGGTCCTGCCTGGAGGCCCCCGCTGCAGCAGGGGTGTCACAGGGTGGGATGCTCTGGTGGCACCTCTGGCTATGGGACGCCAGCTGCCAACCCACGTCCCTCCTTGCCCAGCTCTGTGTGGTGAGTCCAGCTTTTTGGAGGGGAAGCTGAGGTCACCAAGACCTCGTTTCATCATTGTGACTTGCAACAAATATGCCTTTTGCCTTCTGCCCGCTCTTAATGTGAATTAAAAGCTGGGTGCAGGCGGGTCTGCGAGGGCAGGGAGCCCATCCATGGTGAGGAAATGACAACGCACCCCCCCAGCTGCTGCCCCAGCGTTGTCGCAAGTGCTTTGCCATGTGCGAGTGCTGTGCCTCTCCCCGCTCACCGGCTCTCGCGTTGCGGTGCTGCTGCTTGGTACAAAGGCCCCCCCCCAAACTGCTGCAAACCCCCCCTCTTCCCAACACCCCAGGAGCCCCCTCTGCCTGCACCTGAGGGAAAGGGCATTTCCAACATCACCTGCCCGACATTCCTAGTATTCCCACTCTCACCAGTCTTGACACAAGTGTGTGTTTGAGCTCCAAATACCATTTCAAGACCTTCCTAGCTAGCTTCTTCCCTGGCTTTCCTTCCCGTGCTTGGTACCCATAGCACAAGGCTCCGTTATGCCTCTGCAGCCGATAAAACCTCACCCCTGTTTCCGCATCTCATCCCACCGCTGGGACAGGGCCAGCCTGACGCCTGGTGAGTCAAATCCCCAAAATTCCCCCTCCGCTTTGATTGCATGTGCAGCGGCTGGACCGGCCGGGAGATGTCCAATTTCTCCACCATATGCAGCCTAATGTCAACACAGGGACTATTTTAACAGGGGGCCTTCGCAAAGGCCAACTTAAGGACTTCAAAAGCTCGACCCCTCGCCTGCCTCTCCCCAGAGCTGTCACAGTAACATCAAGAGGCAGTTGCTGGGGCTCTGTGCTTTGCCGAGAATTTTATAGCTTGTTTTCTTTTCCCTTTGCTTTTATTTGCTCTTCAGCCCTGAACAATGCATCTGTGCAATGCCAAGCCACAGCTGGGCCTCTCGGCTCGGCACGAAGGTGTCACGGCTCTGGGCTTGTCACCTTCCTTTAGAGCAGAGACATCTTAATCCCTCATTCCTTCCTGTTTACCTTATGGTGCTTGCCCAAGTCAAAGACATGTTATATTTGCTTAATTATCAAATTTCAGCCCAGAAAATGACAGTGCAGTCCCAGATTATTTATCAGGACCAATCCCCAGCTAACACACAACATGAAAGCGAAGGGGAGAGCAAAATCCTTCAGCCACGTCCGACCAGCAGGATGAAGACTGCTTTCCCCATGCTTTGCAATCAGAATTCCTCTGGCTGCCGTGGTGAGGCCCAACCTCATGTCCCCACCAAACTCTGGCAGAACAGGAGAAGCAGCCACCAATGCGCTAATGGTGGGAAGAGTGGCCCGAGAGCGGTTTGCCAGTCGTGAGAAAGTGAGATTCCTGACACCGAGTGGTGCCGCGACTTTCCTGACACCGAGCGGTGCCGCGACTTTGAACTGTGGTTTGCCTCTCCTTAGATGAGCCCACCAGCCTGTGGGTGCATTTGTCATCTCCAAAAACAGAAGTCTCCCATCAAGGCAACAAAAGACAAAGCTCCTGCATGCAGAGGGAATTGCTGCTTTTTAGATCTGGCCGGTCCCACGGACACATTTGCTGATGCTGCAAGGGCACTTAAACAGCCTGTTTGCATCTAAAAGAAGTGTAGGAGCACACACTGGGTGCTTTCTGCATTCCCCCTTGTATTTTTTTTCCCTTCCATCTTAACGGAAGAGCACTTTGTGCTTTGCTACGAGTGCCCCAGCAGCCGCTTGGCTATGGCATTCTCCTTTTCTCACAGCGCAGCAGCTCCGCAGAGGTGGTTCTTGCCCCACAGAATGCATGAGCTGAGCTTTGGGGAAGGAGGTGGCGGTTTTAAAGTCCCAATCCTTGTTTTACAGAGAGGCGACCGAGATGCTGAGATGAAACCCTTTCCCCCAGGCGTGCAGGAGGCACAGGGCTGGTTCCAGCCATGGACCATCTGAGAGGTGCACCAAGGCTGCAACATGGGGGATGTCCTCTTGGCTACAGCCAACCACCAAGGCAACACCTGCACCAACGGCACGCCCTCAGGGCTCAGCTCAAGCGATGAAAAAAAATATTTAAGTCCCTAGACCTGAGGGTCTGTCATCCCTGCTGTAGCCTGTGACCGTGCAGACACATCTCCACTGCGCAAAGCCTTGAGGCTCACTAGCAGCTCTGCCTTTGGTGCTACAAACCACAGGATTTAGTCCCTGCTGACCAACATGAGGAGCCCTTTCTCCAGGGGGTGGCGTGGCCTCACAGAAAACCTTGTTCTTCCCTGAAGCTGGCAGAAAAGTGTGTTGTCCAAAGAGCATGAAAGCTCACCTCCTAAAACCTGTATTTTAGGAGAGCTGGACTTGGTACTTGAGTATTTTGCAAGAATGCATTGGCAAATCCCTTTCCAAAATTCAAAGCTAGGCCCACCTGAAGTGAGTGAAAATCTTCACATTTCTTTGGGTTTCTCAATAAGCAGAAATGTTTTTGCAAAGCGAGGAAAGCAGAACTCCTGGGATTTTCTCAAGATCTTTGCAAATATTTCGGCTAGTCCCACCAGGGCAGAGCTGTGCAGCAATGTGGAGGTGCAGAGCTGCTCACAGCCCTGCTCCTGGGATCAATTTTACATTGATCTTCCAGGGATGGGAGAATCCAGTGTCTGGAGAAGGGAAGAAGCTGAACCTCACAAGAGCTGCAAGGACCCATTCCTGCCCTCATCCAGAGTAAACAACCTAAAGTTTGTGTATGCCTCGGGATATAAACCTTCCCAGGAAGGAGAAGGTATGGACTGGCCAAGCCCCTCTCCATGCCCAGCGTCCCTGCACTTGGCCTCCCTGCGAGCTCCTTGCAAGCACCACAAGCAGCCAGGGAGCAATGGCCACCCCTCCACTGGGACTTCTCAGCACTTTTTGGTCCCATCATCTTAGCCTTGGCTCTGTCCCCTCCTTCCACGTGCACTCCCAGGGCACTGAGGACATCCACTGGGCACCAATTGCCTCCTAACCCCATGCACATAGGTGCTTCTCCATCAGCCACCCCCTCCCACTCTCCATCATCCACCTGTTTGTGCAGACAAAAGGGGCCAAACTGACCCAAGGAGAGTGGTTTTAAGTGAAGTTACTGTCTCCTGTGCTTGCCCAGGGTGCCTGGGTCCTGAGCGGCCAGCGCTGTGCATCATTGGCCACCAGCCAGGGCTAGCTGGCGGCTCCGGCTGTAGCCTCGTGTGTTTGCAGAGGGCCAATGGGAGAGGCTTGGTCTGACTGAAGGAAAATAGCCATCCTACTTTTTCCTGACAACAGCGCATAGGGATGGAAGAATTAGGGCAACGCAATAAAAGACCCATCGAGGAGTCAGAAAGTCTTTGCTGGGGACGAGGCTGGGATGCATCGTGATGGGATCCACCATGCTGGTGCTTCAGCCTCAGAGAAAACCAGCGGGGGGGCCCGGAAATGCTGAGTGCAGGCAACTCCTGGGCACACCATTATCGCTGGCTGTTAGGACCAGCAGGGACCCAGCAGCAGGTCGTGATGCTTTTGGATCCCAGCTCCAAATCTGTGTGCGGTCCCTGGGTGCCGCGGGCAGGGCGTGCGGCTCGCCTGGCCACATTTTCCCTGGATAGAGGCGCTCAGGAAACGTAGCTCCCGCCCACCCTCTCCCTCAGCCTGATGGTTAATCCCCTGCTGTGCTAGAGCATTTTTTCCTCATTTCTAACATGAATTGGCCTGGCTTTAATTTCCAGCCAGTGCTTCTTGGTGTGAGTTTCCCTGCCACAGTAAGTGGCTCTTTAGCAACCCATCTTTTCTTTCTACGAACGCCTTTGCTGGCTGTAATAAAAATCACCTCCCAGTATTGGTATCACCTAGGCTCCCTGTGCTTTGCTTTTCACCCGCTGGAGCAGACACACCAGCGCTGGGGGTGCAGAGCCAGCTATGGGCCAAGCATGTGCCAGGTGCCGACACCACTCCGATGAAAAGTTTTGGCTCCAGCTGCTCACCTAAGCTCAGCGCTGCTGCCTCCCGCTCTCTTCTTTCTCTTATTTTGCCAAAGATCTCACAAGCCTTTTGTTCACTGACTTTATTGCACACAGATGTACAGTCATCAAACAGTCTCTACCTGGGCTGCCAGACTCCGATACGAACAACCAGATATCACTTAAATGCAGATGTTCAGAAACCCGGAGAAGGTCGGAGTGGAAAAGGGGAAAACTGTGGTTTGGAGCCGGGTGAAGAAACTACAGCAGAATCATCTCCACATTAAAACCAGTGACTTGGTCAAACGAATTCATCAAAGAAGGTCAGGGTGGGCAGGATTTTCCATTCGGGAGAACGAAAGGAGATACATGAATGGGAGGCGCAGGCTGGAGCTGTGCGGCGGGAGCTGTGGTTGTGGTCTTTTGTGCTGCCACCGCGTCCCCCGAGCCCCGCGTCCCAGCGTCCTGTGTCTCCCAGGACGCATTCCTCTCAGCGGTTTTCATTCAGCAATGACAATGCTGCCCTTTCAAAAGACCCCACCCTGCCAAAACTTATATTTTGGCAATTTTCAGAATGCAAGTTGCTTTTTAAACAAACAAAAACCCCAAAACATTTTGTTTCAATTTTTGCAAACAATAATTCAGGGGAGGGGGAGGGAGGGAAAGGAGAGAATAGAAGAAGCCAGGGGCCTGAAAGTAACCTCTAAATTTGACTTGAATTTATGAATAGTCTCAGTCTCCTTAAAATTGTCCTTTTCCCAGATAAGTTTGTTTTTGCCAGAAAATTGCTAGCTCAGCCCGAGTCATTTTTTCTCTTCTGCAGGAGGAGCCTTGCGTGCATCGTCCCAGGCGCGTCCATCTGGGGAGGGACTTTGCTCCCAGGGGACCCCTGGAGATATCTTCAGGTATATTATTTTTGAGGGCCATATTGGTCAAGGAAACAGCCACCCTTAAATCAAAGAGAGGGAACAACAGAGATGGAGCAGCCAGAGCCAGCGGAGACCAATCTGCTTGCTGGACTGAGAGGTAAAGAGAAAGCCCCTATGGAGACAGTGGGAGGGTGTCCCTGGTCCCCTACAGCATCGTGTCCCTCCAAGCCTGCTTCTGGCTGGTTTGAAGTTTTGGAGCAGCTGGGCATGAGTCTGGAGCCACTGGACAAGCTCCCACACCGCTGCGGGCACTGGGCACCGGGCTGTGGTGCGCTGGGCTGTGCCCGGCGAGGGAGCCCGGGTGGTGTGGCCCCGCAGGGATGTCCCCTGGGGGGCATGGATGCTGCCCGAGCTGGGGAGGAGGGCTCTGTCCATGCTTGCTGCAGCAAAACAGCAAAGCATGCATGAATGCCAGCCGTGGCGGCAGTGAAGTCGTACACAGTACAGCCACCATGCATGGCCCCAGGAGCTTGGAGCCGTCGGGACTGAGCGGCCGGATCCAGCTCTGCTTGCAGGGCAGGCAGCCCCGCGCCCTCCCGTGTGGCTCACTGCCACCCACCACAGACCCAGTTGGCCGACACTAAACAAAAACTTTTGCTCGGGAAAATTCATTTGTGTGTGCTGTTAAGTCTGAGTAAGGAGGAGGATCGGAAATTGGTTTGGTTTGCTCAAGCTAATCCACCGAAGGGGGAAATCCATCAGGGCGTTGTGGCTGCGAGGGGGAGACGCAGGGTCTGCGCCAGGCCCCAGGTTTTCCTGACAGTCAGAGCAAAAAGACGGAGGAAAGTGTGCGGACGTACCGCAAAATATGCAGCTATGGTTGGCATCACCCACCAAACCAGAGCCACAAACCTGGCTTGCAGCAAAAGCAAGCATGCACTGGTGGGGGGT